CTTTTTCCAGTTTTATTTGTTCTTTGAGGTGTTCAATTTTATCTCTGAGTTCCTTTCTAGGGTCAAGGACTGGACATGCCAGCGGGGGAGCACTGGGATTATTATTATAAGGCGGAGGGCGTTGAGAAACAAGCGGCCAATCAGAGTTACGATATCTGGCAACTTTATCCGTCAATTCATCCCAATTAACCTCCCCTCTGTCAGGAACAGTCTCCAAATATACTGATTGGTCGGGATAAATCTTTGTCTTGGATTTGATTATTTCCTCTGAGGCAACACTAGTTTTTGTTCTTTTGATTTCTCCACCCTCTCTTTCTGTTAGTTTTTCTTGTCTCCCCGTATGAGAGCCCTTAGGCATAATTTTATTCCAAGTGGGCTCGGTTTCTTCTTCCTCATTATCACTATCGAATGACATGAAGTCCTCACATTCTTTACTTTCATTTTCATTCCCCTTTTTTTTCTTTCTGTAATATACCCTCGCCATTTTCTACTACATTGGCAACGAGAGGATCAGAATGTCTCTGAGATAAAACCTCATCTATTAAATACCAATAAGAAAAAGTTACCGGGACCTTCTCGGGTCCGTAAGTCTTATAATAATCTCTAAGAGCGTCACCAACTATTTTCCACTGTTTTTGATCTATAGATCCCTCTGTAGGAAACCAAGGACAAACTTCCTTAACATAATCAAAATACTGACATAAATGCTTGTTTTTCACCTTTACTCCTCGTGCCTTTATAGCCTTTCCTAGTCCTTCAACGAATGTCTTATCTTGGCTCAATGCTTGACCCATAATCGCCGTTCACTTACCCGAGGGGTGCAGACGCAGCAGGTTCCCACGTCGTTCCCTCTTTTCTTTTCCTTTCTGCCGGCCACTCGAACGGCGTCCTTCACTGGATCCCCCGTGCTCGAGCCCCACGTTGGGCGCCACTTGACCCGGCCCGCAGGTCGATCAACGAGGACTCTAGAGGGGGAGTGAGGATGAGGTTGGACAAGAGACACGAGAAATGGAGACAAGACAGGATTCTGATCAAGTCTCGTTTATTCAGGGGGAGTTCACGCAATATATAGGGGGAAAACACGTGAAACAGCCAATGAGCATCCCACCTGAAGCCAACCCCAGCAAACACCCCAGGTGGAACAAATGATAAGCAAAGAACGGAGCAAACAATTATCTAGAGGAATGCAGGCACTGCACGCGGAGAGGCACGGCACGCGGAGAGGCACGGCACGCGGAGAGACCCCGCCCTGGGGCCGGAGACAGCAGAGCAGACTTTAACAAGATGGATGCCATGCAAACGGTCTCCCACAGATGTGTCTCCCAGGGTAAAGGAATAAAACAAATAGGACTACATCAAACTAAACTGCTTTTGCACAGCAAAAGAAACCATCAACAAAATAAACAGGAAACCCACTGAATAGGAAAATATGTTTGTCAATGATATATCTGATAAGGGGTTAATTTCTAAAATATTATATAAAGAACTATATAACTCAACACCAGGAAGACAAACAATCCAAATGGGCAGAGGAACTGAATAGACACTTCTTAAAGAGGACATACAGATGGCCAATAGAGATTAAAAAATAAAAAAGTTCAATATCACTAATCATGAGGGACATGCAAATTAAAACAAAAATGAGATATTACCTCATACCTGCCAGAATGGCTACCACCAGTAAATCAACAAACAACAAGTGCTGGTGAGGATGCAGAGAAGAGGGAACCCTCATGCACTGTTGGTAGGAATGCAGATCGGTGTAGCCACGGTGGAAAACAGTATGGAGTTTCCTCAAATAATTAAGAATGGAACTGCATAATCACCCAGTGATCCCACTTCTGGGAATAAATCCAAAGAAACCTGAAACCCTAATTTGAAAGAATATATGCACCCCTGTGTTGATTGCAGCATTATTTACAATAGCCAAGACCTGAAAACAGTCCAAGTGCCCATCAGTAGATGAGTGGATAAAAAACTATTGGAACTAATTGAGTTAAGCAAGGTTGTAGGATTTAAGATCAAAATATAAAAATCAATACATTTGTAATGAACAATCTGATAATGAATTTAAGAAAATAATGCATTTACAATAGAGTCAAGAGGAATAAAATACTTTTAAAATTTTAACAAAATACTCTGAAAACAACTAAATGTCAAAAAATTAATGTGTATAAATAAATGGAAAAACATCCCAATTTCATGAATTAGAAGACTTAACATTGATAAAATGACATGACTTCACAAAATGATTCAGCTGTAATCTTTTCTTTTTAAAATTCCTATTAATTTTTAGAGAGAGAAGAAGGGAGAGGGAGAGAGAAATAGAAACATTGATGAGAAACATCGATTGGTTGCTCCTGCATGCCCCCTGCTGGGAATGGAGCCTATAACCTGGGCATGTAATCCCACCTGGAGCCAAACCTGTGACCTCTTGGTCCATGGGTCAACACTCAACCACTGAGCCACATCAGCTGAGCCCAGCTGTAATCTTTATAGAAATCTGCAAGTTGTTTCATAAATTGATGTAGACTTGCAAATAAACCAGAATCACCAAACCATTCTTGAAAAAAAAGTAGTAGGACTAACATTTCTTGATTTCAAACCTTTTCACAAACCAAAGAGGATCAAGATAGTTTGGTACTAACATGAAGATAGACATACAGATCTGTGGAATAGATTGAGATTTGAGAAATAAACTCCTACATTTATAGTCAACTAATATTTGAAAAAGGTACCAAGAATGGGGAAATAATTTCTTTCATCCCCCCCCCCTTTTCTTCTCTTTTCTTTTTAAAAGATTTTTTATTTTTTATTTTTAGAGATAGAGGAAGGGAGACGAAGGAAGAAAGAGAAACATCGACCATCTGTCTCCTGCACAGTCCCTACAGGGGATTGAGCCCACAACCTGGGACTGTGTCCTTACAGGTGCATGGGACGATTCTCAACCAAATAAGCCACACCAGCCAGGGCTCATTCTTTTTTTCATAAATTGGTGCTGGGCCAACTGGATAACTATGTGCAAAAGAAACAGGTTACACTGTATACATCACACCATATATTATAATTTATCCAAAAAGATCAAAGACTTAAACATCAGACGTAGCTAAAACAAATTTAGATAAAACATAGGAAAAATTTCTGACCTTGTATTTGGCAAAGTATTGTTAGATATGACACAAAGGACAATAATGAAAAATAAATTAGTGACTTAGACTTCATGATATTAATGACTTTTGTGTTTCAAAGGACATAATTCAGAGAGTAAAAACACCCATTGAAACCCTTGTGCAAAATTGCTGGGGATATAAAATTGTGTTGCAAGTTTGAAAATATGAAGGATTATCAAAAATTAAGTACAGAGTTACCATTTGATCTAGCAATTCTACTTTTGCATAAATACCTGGAAAAATAGAAAGCCTGGACTCAAGCAGATATATGTTTACTGGTGTTTATATTAGCATTATTCACAATAGCCAAAAGGTAGAAATAATCCAAGCACTTATCATCAGATAAATGTTTCAAAAACATTTGGCACATTCATACAACAAAATATTGTTCAGCTTTCAAAAGACAGAAAATTCTGACACGTTACGACATGGAAGAACTTTGAGGACATTATGCGAGGTTAAATCAGCCTGTCAATAAAGATTAAACACTGTATGATTTGTATAAGGTAGATAGAGTAGTCAAATTTATAGAGACAAAAAGCAGAATGGTTGTTGCCAGGAGCTGGGGTGAGGGGAATAAGTTGTGTCCAATGGGAGAGAGTTTCACTTTTGCAAGATGAAAGTAGTCCTGGAGATTCGTCTTAAAATGTCAATGTTCTCCCTACTGAATGACACACAAAATGTCAAAAATATAAATTTTATAGTATGTGCACAGTACCACAACCACAAGTAATACATTTAAAATGTTTCTATTGATTTTTGAGAGAGAGAGTGAGGGAGAGGGAGAGTGAGAGAGAGAAACATCAATGAGAGAGAACATCTATTGGTGCCTCCTGCATACCCCCAGCTGGGGATCAGGGCCCACAACCTGATCCCACAACCTGATCAGGGCATGTGCCCTGACTGGGAATCCAACCAGCGACCTCTTGGTGAATGGGTCCATGCTGAACCACTGAGCCACACTGGCCGGGCTAGTTGTGTGCATTTTAAAATTCTCTAGGGACACAGACAAAATGTGATCTAAATTAAATTTTCTTCCAGTGTGAAATGTACAATTGAGAATGTCATGAGCACATCTCACGCCCTGTGGTTATACTGAGAAGTCCTTGCTTGCAGGCTGATGCTTGGGAGTTTTAATTTTCTACCAGAGCCAAGTGCTCTGGGATTCTTTCTTTTAAGGACAGAATGAATTGGGATGGGGAAGAGATGGGTGGAAGGTTCCAGGCTAGCAAAGATCAAAGACTAAAATGAAGCCAGACTCAATTACAGATGGTGAAGTCATATTCAGTGTCTGCATTTATAAACAAGGGTCACAGTTCTATGAGTGGACTCACAGATTTACCGCCAAGCGCTTGACCCCTAGAGGACATAAGACCCTCTTGTTTCAGTGTGGCCTGGCCTGGGCCACCTTCTTGTCTGTACTTACTTGCTCCATCTGGAAACGGAATCAGAATTCCCTGTGCACAGCTGTGCCCTCGCCTTCACAAAGAGCCGGGGGAAAGCTACATGGGCAGCCCCAGGATTAGAAAAAATTATGACTATGCAAAAGTACCAAAATGGGTCAGCTTCTTATTCTCCGAAGGAGGCTATTTCAGCAGAGCGAGTTCTCCCGCTTGCTGTCACTCAGCCTTGGGACCTGTCCAATCAAGAGCACGCTGAGGAAAGTGGGTGGGGCAACGCCCCGCATTGGCAGGTACCTCCATGCTCTGGATGCAGAAGGGTTTAGGATCCAGCGTTGCCCACCCCTCACGGTCCCGAGTGGGTCTCCTGCAGCGTCTGTCGCGCTGTAACCTGCCCTGGCCTTGGAGTCCAGGAAGGGCTCAGGGAGACGCAGGGAATCTAGGAATGGTGAGTGTGCGGCCGGGTGCAGAGACGGGAGGAGGGGCTGGTTTGAACCGGTTGAAACCGGCCGTGGCGGGACTGGCCTCACCCTGTCACCCCAGAGTCTGAGGACCCGAGTCCATTGGGGCGGTGTTCGGACCTGGCCCCCCCTGCACACAGCGTGGGTGCTGGACCGGCAGTGGGGACTCCGGGCATCCTGTCCCGTCTCTGCGCCGCGACTTCAGCCCGGAGCCCCTCTGGGCATCTCTGCCCCGCAGCCCCGCGTCTCCCCAGGTGGTGGTGACCACGGGAAGGGTCCTTAGGAGACATCTGTGACTTGATCCCCGGGGTTCACTTGTGGGAGGAGCTGTGGAGTCCCCAGTGTGGAGGAAAATGGGGCGCTGTGATAAATGTAACCGAAAGTAACCTAATAGCGTGATCAGGTCATAAATTCCTAACTGGGCACGTCTGTTGGCCGTCACGCCCCAGGCACACCGGCCCTGTAGTAAAACGTTTATCTTTGCCTTGAGCAAGCCCTGTCCATTGTTCTTGTGCATCTAGGTTAACACACCTTTGAAACGCCTCTTTTCAGACATCTTGGAAACACAACCGCCCTCAGGGGAGCACACAATCTTTTCAATGTCCTGTAATCCAGTCCCCACCTTGCTTTCTTCCCACAGTCTTGTAATCTTCCTTAGGTTCCCTCCTTAATTCCAAATGCATAAAAGAAACTGCAAACTGGAAGAAAAATGTAAAGGTCTTTTACTGAGAAACATTTTTCTCAGTCTGTTGAGATCTTGCTTTTAGGTCTATCTTCTGTTTGGATCGAATAAAGTCTCATAAAACATTTTCTACCGGGGCGTTTCTTACTTCGACACCAGTCCTTTCGGTGTCCCCAGGAGGACTGTTTTTCCTCCCCAGTTTTCCAGATGTTTGGGGAGCAGGGTCTCAAATCCACAACCCTGTGCCTCCAATTTAGCTCTTTCTGGGATAAATCCCTAAATTTTTAAAGATTTAATTTTTGTCTATGGATATTTTACACGAGAGGAAAGCAGAAAACAACCACATGGAAAATTTGAAATCAGATTGCTTGAAAGCTCAGTTCCCCTCTCCCCAGGACCTTCCCTGGGCACAGACATCCTATGAGAAATTCTTTGGATGGAAGTTCCTTTTTGGAAACTTAACTGGGTAATCTGTACTGTCACACTGTCCCTCTCAGGGTTTGTCATCTTGAGAAGATGTATTGATTAAGTCTCCACTTTTCAATAGGGATAAACTGTATTTAATCAATAGAGCTTGAAACACAATATAAAATATTTTCAAACAGGCAAGAGGTGAATTTCAGAAAAAATAAGATATTCCCTATTACCACTATTACATTCCATTTGTATAGAATTCTTGTTTCACTCTTTATTCCCCTAAGCATGTATGGTCTGTTTTTTGTTTTTTTTTTGTTTTTTTAAACTTTGGGGTGTTTTCAAATCAAATTGCAGGGTTTAGACTTGCAGAGTAGAAGCATTCAAGTATGATTATTATTTAAAAACTAACTGTTTCCGCCCTGGCCGGTTTGGCTCAGCAGTTAGAGCTTTGGCCTGCGGTCCTGAGAGACCCGGGTTTGGTTCCCGCTAAGGGCACGTACCTCGGTTGCAGTTTGTCCCCGGCTCTGGTCGGTTGTGCGGGTGGCAGCCACTCGATGTGTTCCTTTCACATCGATGTTTCTGTCTCTCTCTCTGTTCCTCTCTCTCCCTCCCACTCTACCTGAACAAAAAGTGGAAAAATGTCCTCTGGTGAGGATAAAAAAAAAAATTAAAAAAAATAAATAAATAAAATAAAAACTAACTGTTTCCCTTGGAAATACAATTGACAGACATTTTTCTGAAAATAATAGGTATTGGAAGTTTTCCTTTCTTATAATCTTTTGATATTTTAAAAAATTTGTTGATTTTAGAAAGAAAGAAAGGGAGAGAGTACCATCAATTTATTGTTCTACTCATTTATGCATTCATTGGTTGATTGTTGTATGTGCCTTGACTGGGAGATTGAACCTCAAACCTTGGCGAATCAGGATGACGCTCTGACCAACTGAGCTACCCAGCCAGGTTTTCTAATTGAACTAGTAAAAGACCCTTACAATTTTCTTCCCTCTTTCCACGTAAGGCTGGGTTAATATGATGTTGGTGGATTGTTTGAACACTGGACTTTTGCTGTTTAAAATAGCAATAGTGGTCCAAAACAACTCCAGTGGGGAACGGACTCCTGTAGTCAGTGACTCAAGCTAAGGCCCCCTTGAGCCGGCAAAAGGATGTACTCGAAGGCCCAGTGGATCTTCTTGGGGAGGCTCCCCCTGCAGGTGTCCTACCTGCTCACACCTACCATAGAAGGAGCCCTTACACTGAGAAGCTACAACCCTGGAAAGCTGGGGGTGCATGTGCACATGAGGTTAGGAGTGGGAGAAGAGAGTGATGATGCCTTTGAGTTATAGTTTCTTAGGCTTAGACATTTTTAAAAATTTATTTATTATTATTATTATTATTATTATTATTGTTAATCCTCACCCAAGGATATTTTTCCACAGATTTTTTTTTTTTTTTTTTACGAGAGAGTGTAAGGGAAGGAGGGAGGGAAAGAGATAGAAACATCAGTGTGAGAGACACACATTGATTGGTTGCCTCCTGAACCACCCAGTCCAGGAATCAAACCTGCAACCCAGGTACATGCCCTTGACCAGGAATCAAACCCAGGACGCTGTGGTCTGAGGGCTGACACTCAAACTGCTGAGCCAGACTGGCTAGAACAGGCCTAGACATTTTTAGACCTTAGGTTTGACCAGTGTAGGTGCATTGAGAATGTAATTTTTGCACATTGAGAAAGTTTGTGAAGATCAGGGGTTCTGACTCCTGGACAAAGGTTTGATGAATTGGGAGTTCATTTGGTTCAGGACCTTGAACTGAATCAGCCTGAGAGTTTCCTCACTTGCAAGAATGGAAGCCTGGAGGAGGGGGGGCTTCCATGTTTCCAGCGCTTCCATGAGGGGTGGGTGTGTAAGGAAGCAGGCTGTTTCTCTGTTTTGATTCCAGTATTGCTGTTTCTTTCCATTGGATTCCTTTTCCCCTTGAATATTTCAGCCCATTGGTTCTCATTTCCATTAGCACCTGGGCTTTTAAAATAGAGCTTGATTGAGGGAAATGATGTGAATAAGGCAAGATTGGTTGTGCAAAACAAAATAAAATTTTGTTTCCATTCAGGCAAGAGAACATGTATATATGAGATGGGTGTTTTATAGTCTCAGATGCATTTTCCATTTTTAGGTCAATGTTGTGTGTGTCTGTCCTTAGAGAACTTTCACATGTAAAAGGCTATCCTATTCCTAAAGTAAATAAACTTATATTTTAATTGATTGGAGGAAAACAATTGAATTTTTATTTTCATTGATTTGAGCAAACATATCAAAGCTTATGTAAATTTTGGGAATTTCTAGCATAGGCTAAATTACAAACCCCTAATGCATTTAGGATGCTATTCATTCTTGAAAATATCCGGAGTGTGAAATATAGTTGATGGAAAAATATTATCATTCCCCTTGTTTTCTGTTTTTGTTTTTTTAAATTAGAAAGGGATTTGTAATTTTTTTATACTCTGCAGTTTTATATCATTTACTTTTTAATGACTTAAATTTTGGAGTTTACTATGTAGAAAAGTTAAAAACAACTTATTTTTAAAAGCAAAGTTAATTAATAATGATGATTAATCATAGGAAATATGGTGTATATAAATTTCCTTTCTTGATTTAAATAAATAACAAAGGGGAGAGTTTTAAAAAATGCCTGAGAGGAAGTTGATTTAAGGTCACCGCCTGCATAGCCTGCTTCACTCCTTGCTGATTCCCTCCACCCTCAAATACCAGTTTTGATCATGTCTTGCTTATCCTATTAATGTCTTTATATAAAAACATGCCAGTATAAATGCATCTTTCTCTTACCCATGTTTGTGCTTGTAATGAGGTCAGACTCCATGTATTTGATGTTTGACTGAAAACTTAAGTCCCCCTCCCCTCTTCCCCTGTCCTTACCTGTCAGGCTGATGAGGACCTGGAGGCTCCTGCTCTGAACTGCTGTTTGCTGGGAGCCCCTCCTTTGAGCGGTGCTGCCCTGTGTTCAGAAGACCCTGAGTTGACAGTTTAGCTAATTCTTTATCCTTTTAGAGCAGGAGTATGGGACTGGGACCTTCCTTAAAGTGGTCCTGGGGCCAGTGTCTTGGCTGGAACCTATTTGTGTCTTTAGCATGAAGGTGTGAATGAGGCTGGTGTCACATATACAGTAGAGTGAGTCCAAGGTGGGGGTCGGGGAGTATAAGAATGAATATACCACATGAATGATGTGAGCCCATCATATGGTTGCTCCTGAAAGGGTAGATATTTCAGAGAGAAAGAGAAGAGACAGGAAAAGGCAGCCCATAAGTGGGAGGGTGAGTCCACTTCCCTAATGCCAGAGGGCTCCCCAGGACCCTTAGGTACATCTGCTGCTGCCCCTGCCTCCCCTGATCTCCACACTGGGGACAACACCTGTAGTCTCACTGTGGCACAGCCAAGGGATTAGTTCAAACCAGATTTAAGCCCAGGGTCCTTAAATCCTCTATAGCAGCCATTTGGTGGTGGTGGTGGTGGTGGGGGGTTCTAACCCTAAAGGCACTTATTTGAGGTCCCCTAGGAGAAAAATTTACAAATACCAGAGTAGAGAGGACACCCACTTACCTGAAGTTTACCCAGTGACCTAAAATACAAAATAGGGAAGGACACAAGAGAGGGAACAGGAGAAAATAGATATTAAAAAAAGGTCCACTATTTGACCCAATTAGAAATTCAAAATATGCTGAAAGAATAAAGGGGGAGTCCTTGGCTTTTGAGCCTCTCAAACATAGGTTTTGAAATAATGTTGCCAGCCCCTCTGATGCAATAATTGACAAACCCTTACACAGTGACTCATGCTAGTTATACAGTTATACCTGGGTTCTTAGTAAATTGAAATGAG